TTGATTCGTCAATATAAGATATATGCTATGCAATATTGAGTTTCAATTTAATTAACGAGCTCCTTTGTATATTTAATGAATTTTGAATTGTTGTTGATATCTTGTGAATAGTCTAAATGAGACCAAAGTTGGTATAGACTTACTTGATCTGTCAGTATACGATATGTGCTGTGCAATATTGAGTTTCAACTTAATTAACAAGCTCATTTGCATATTTAATTAATTTTGAATTTTTCTTATTATGTACTAATTGTCCGAATGAGACCAAACTTGATATAGACTTACCTGATCTATCAATATAAGATGTGTTCTATGCATTATTGACTTTCAACTTAATTATTTAGCTAATTTGCATATTTAATTAATTTTTAATTTTTGTTAATATCTTGTTATCTATATACTCCTGGAAAGTTGGAATTTTATTTGACTCCAAACATATGAACCTTGGTGTAAAATTAATAGAAGCATGTTGTGGCAAGGGCTTGGTTATTTTACTGGAAGTTATGGTAGTCCTGCCATAAATAAACAGTTCTTTTCGGCTACTGCACTCTTACCTGACAAGGCCCCAAAGCAGTCCAAACCCAGTAAAGTCCAGCCTTTTGGCATGTCGATTATCATTTCTCCAAGATGAATGCACTTCAAACTTTATAGATTGTCAGCAGCCATTCTTTTAATAATATCTTGTGAACTAATATAATAGTTCATGTATTTGCTATTTAATATTGACTCAATTGAATTTGCATATTTAATTTACTGTGAATATTTGTTCAAATTTATCAAATTTATTTAATAGAAATGTTCTAGCTGTTAACTTTGAGAAACATACTTTTGATTTTCAACTTAATCTCCTACCCGATTTTATACATATACATTCAAACTTTATAATTCGTAGCCCAACTATAATCACATCTGACAAGTGGGGGTTGTGTCATCTTCAGATGACTTGTTACATATGGTATTGGTTGACCTCTAGTCTTCAATGAGTTGCAGGGCTAATTAAGTTGAAATTGTGTATTAATAGAATATGAGAAAGTTGATAGTATTTTAACCTGCATTGTTTGTTTATAAGATTCAGTAGTTTTTGACATCAGCTTGTCATAGATCAGTGGTCAACCGTATTGTTGAATCGTTTGATATTTCACTTATTTTTATAAATACATATTTTTATTTACTATTTTTAAGCCTTAATTGAAGCTACATGCGTCTTCCGATCAGTATTGATATTCACTCATAATTGTTATCAATTATTAGTTACATTTTTGTAATGGCCCAATTGGTGCTAGAATTGAGTAATTATTATGATTATAAACAGTATTTTGATAGATTGTAGGGACATCACCATTTAATCCCGTCGCAGTGGCGTTATCATAAAACGAAACATTCTGACATTCAAAATTTTAATATATGTGCCTAGGTGAAGTACACTGTGGGAAAGAGTCGGTCGTCTTTTTATGTCATATGGAAAGTCAAGAAACGCTTTGAAAAATGTATTTACCGAAGAACAAAAAATACCATGTAGACTCATGCAAATTGTTGGTACTATATTCTACAGTAAATGAGAAAGCAGATGATTGTGGAAAAGTGAATGGACTGAGAGGTTGTGGTAGTGCTGTCGCGATTATAGAATGCTGTCACGCTGTTTACTGACATCAGTATATCACATAAAATGGTTTTGCCCCAAAAACTATACAGATGGATATTGTATTTAACAAAAGGTGTCATCTACTGAAAACTGAAATCCTCTTAAATACCTGCTTTTCCTAAATAATAGACATTTTAGACATTGAATGGATAAAGTTGTTAGGAATAATTTTCCTTTTCTTTCATTGCGTTCTTTACATTGTACTCGTCTGTCGTCTGTGCTAAACAGGTTTATAGAATGTATAGTAGTGATGTCAACAGCTGATACTCACTGTCATAGACTTTGGTGGTGGCAGCCGTCCACTGACTGTTAGAAAGCATTTCATCAAAAAAATCAAGTATGGAAGTGTAGACTGGAGTTATTAGCCCCTATCAGGTTTTTGGTTCCATCTTATGTCATTTCCCAGACATGCCTGGACCAATTTGATCAATATAACCAACTTATGTGGCCATTTTGTTTTTTTCTTGTGTGTCCTACCCATTCTTAGATACTGTTGCATTGATTTTGTTTAAATTTAGTGCAAAAGCAAAATTTAAACATGTCATCAAAAGCAAAATTTAAACATGTCATCAAAAGCAAAATTTAAACATGTCATCAAAAGCAAAATTTAAAAATGTCATCAAAAGCAAAATTTAAACATGTCATCAAAAGCAAAATTTAAACATGTCATCATTGAACTATTTAATTGAACATGATTGCTTACTGATGCACTTCAGTTGATTTTGCTTATACATGTATTTTATTCAGAGTGGCCAATTGGCGGCCATATTGTTTTTATTTCCATGCTACCTACCAATTTTTCAGATACTAATTTTGTTTAATTTTATACAAAAGCAAGACATAATAGCTTGCATATTTTCATCATTTTTTCTTGAGTTTTGGTGAATTTCAACGAACTGGTGGCCAGTTTGGTCCAACCATCACATCCATTGATTACTGATGAATGTCATTTTTTTTTTTTTTTTGTGGTTTGATTCAAAATAGTGAAAATTTCAGATGACAGATTTTCTTCAAAGTAGGTAAAAGAACAGATATATTTTTGTGTTCTCAAATGTCAACATCTGGTTATCAATGAAATCCAAGTTCATATATTACTTAATCTCAAAGACGAGGACTATGACTCATGTCTTGTTAAATTTCAATCCAAGTTTTAAGATTTAAATATGCTCATTGGTCAGGAATGTTATTCTCAAATTTCCCAGTAAATGTGCGAAGAGTCATCATCTCAATTTCAGTGGCAGTAAAATATTTAGAGAAGATATTTTCTAGTCTGCTTGCTTTGAAATTAAACTGAAAGTGAGACAAGTCTTTTTTGGAGTTAGCTCATTGTATTTTCCTTGCTTTTTATGTCTCAAACCTGATGGGAAACTATTAAATAATGTGACTGTGATCCAAATTGCAACTCCATCAAACCTTCAACCTATTGATTCCCTGGATAAGAAGACACACACTATGGAGAACTCCTCTGTAGAATTCTAAACACTGTCTGGCACATACAAACGAGTGGAGAGTGGAGTCTTTATTTTACTGTTAGTATAATTCTGGTTCTTGGGAGTACTAATATTTACATACTTGTGTGTTAATATCACACAAATTTTAATAGTACTTGAGAGTAAATGTAATGTCATTTTATGCCCTTTTTATGGGTGATACTTCATCTCTCAAGCGTATGGAAAGTGAATTCAGTTCATAATTGTTTAATGTTCATCATCTTAAGTGGGGAGGCAGGTAAAATGAATACTGAATTCATAGTGATTATAGTGAAATGTGCTTCACCACTCCATAGCAACAAACTTGTTATTGGCATGGCAACTGATGCAATTTCTAGACTCTGTTGAGTAAATAAATTCTTTCGGTTTACCATGATACATTTTGTATCGTTTGGGTTATTTAGTCTCTGTTCAGATGTAATCGAAAAAACAGAACTGTTATCCAGACATGCATCAACTGATTTCTTGGTACTGGGACAATAATTGATGCACACTCATTTTGTTTCAATTAAATATGACCGACTGGTAGTCATTTTAGATATGGAATAGGCTTGAAACCTAATACATGTACATATCCGTATATGTAACCAGTTGTCGGTGATGGCCAATTAAAACTCAAACTTATGATATACATGTTGCATCTTGCATTTTGCATAGGATTCAAAATGGCTGACCAGCGGCCATTTTGATAGATTTTTTAGCAGGGAACATTTTCACAGTGTTATGTTTCAGTACACAGATTTTCTTATCTCTTCCAATTTTGTTTATGATGTCATTGAATATGGCAGACTGGTAACTATTTTGCCGATTGAAATCGATTAAAAAGATTTCAGCTGCAAGCTTTCATATCAGTAACTTAGTGACATTGTCAAAAACACTAAATTGTCTTTTACATCAATATTTGGTTGAATTGAAAATGCAATTTCCATATTATTGATAATCATTCATGTGTTAAACATAAAAGTTAAACATGCTGTATCTGTGTTATTTAAATGGACAAGAGAGTTGCAAGGTTGATTGTAGACAGTTAATAACATGTCTTGAATGTGTAACTAGGCATGTTGAGATTTAATGGGCTCAATAATAAGATCATTATGCATTTATCACCTGCAGAAAAAAAAATAGTCATGTTAACATCCCCCTAGGTTGAAGGTCACAAGTCAATAAGACAATAACTAATGCAAATTACGGCACGTAATAACTCCAAAATGCACAATGCTGTCCATTCATCATGCTAATGTCTCTATACTCGGTATATTGTAGAAGAGCACCCGAGGAAAGCGCACAAGGGTGTTGACATCCTCTCGTTGAAGGTCACAGGTCACTTGCAAATAACAGGAAGCATAAACTGTTGGCAAACCTTCAGGGAATTGTGAACGTTTCAGTAACTCTATTCTTAAGACTTCCTTTATTGAGCTGATGAATTGGAATCTGATGGGAGAAGACTGTCCACTCATTTATTTTATCACCTTCCATAAACTTTGTACGTTTTATGATGCAAATAAACCCATCATGAGGTTTGTCAGTAAGATGTTAGCGGAAATATAAACTATAGAGAGTGTTGTCAGTCAAAGGTTATCCGAGTTGTTTGTATCAGGAGGGTAAAACTAACCTGTTTCATGACGGTCTAACTTCAACTCGCGCTACAAGCTTCATTTTTATTATCTCCTTGCACATATATGTATAGTTCTATATGGTGGTTACCAAGTTCGTCTGTCTGTTCATACATACAACACTAATTTAGAAATTGTTATGGGGTGTGTCTGTGATGTGCATGGTCATACAATTCTGGTGAAAACAAGCTGTGAATTGCATGCTGATTTGCATTTGCATATATTACAGTTGTAAAACTTGCATCCTTATGGATGGATTTCACTTAAATTTGGTAATACATTGAACATTCTGGGACCTTGATGAATTTTCTTTTACTGATCAGACTCAAAATGGCTGACTGGTGGCCATTTTGTTTTAATGAATGCTGTTCAGACAAATCATGTTCAATATATATATATATATATATATATATATCATGTTACATATTATGCATTTGTTTGATAATCAGATTCAAGGTGGCCAGGCCGAATGGTGGCCATTTTAATGTTTGCATCTGCAATTCTGGACCCAGATCTCAAGTCATACATAAAAAGCTATTGCAAACTTTGAACATGCATGTAATGGCACCATAATGATCTTTATATCGTCATGCAGCACGCATCCAAATTTTGTGTAAACAAATATATTTTGCATGCATTGTATACTTACATGTATACTCCGCGGGTTCCATAGCAAACACAATGCAGGGCAACGACTGTATATAACGATTTTAATATACTTGCGAATCTTGTGAATGTAGATACAAATGTATGTTACGGTAACAGCAAAAAATAAACTGAATGAAACCGTTCAGTCAAAACAATTTTCTGGTGCGTTATGTGTTATATACTGCTAATAGGAAAATTTTTCATTGGCACTAT